CCCCCCCCAAAAACAAAAAACAAAAAAAACACAAAAAAACACAAACAAACCCCCCTCCCAAAAAAACACAACAACAACCCCAAAGTAACCTTCGACAAACTATGCAAATCAGTGTAATAACTATACTCTTCTCACATTACCTCATTTTTTATATTGTCACTTTTGTCCATCATTTTGTATTTGTTAGGCAAATTGCTAACATAGATTGGAGCAGGTGAGTGGTTTTATCGTATCATGAATGTACATTGGATGTTGTCACTAAATGTAACCTCTCTCAGTTTGTGAATGGACGTCAGATGGCATGTTTTACCGTTAGATTCATTTGCTAAGAACTTCACAGGTGCAATGTAAGTCCCATCATTTGGGCATAAAATAATATGTATATGAATATGTACGGATGTTTATGTGAGAGAGCCAGAGAGCGGCAGAGAAAATTTCAGGCAATGTTGATGGATGAGTTTCCTGAGATTAAGAGTGAAGTAGGTAGAAAGAGAGACTGAAACAGACAGAGAAACACAGAATGAAAAGAAGAAAAACAGAGTTAGAGAGGGAGAGAGAGAGAGAGCGAGAGGGAGGGGGGAAGGAGAAAGAGAGATAGTGAGAGAGGGAGAAGGGAGATGGAGGGGGATTAGGTAGAATAAAAGAGAATGCTTGATGTTCGTTTGCATGCTTGCATTCTATTTTCGCGTGCATGTGTGTGTGCGTGTATGTGTTTGTGTACGTGTGCGTGTATGCTCCCGCTGCCCCAGAAAACTAAACGGCTTATCTTCTGATCGACGTAGACTTATGAGTGTGTACTTTGATATGAATCCCTTCTCGTCAAACACAAAGTATTGTGCATGGAACAAACATGGCAAAACATAGTTGTGGCAATTTTTTCTTTTGTCAGCAAGAAAAGTTCACTCAAAAATCTGTATCATTAGACAAAAGTAATGTATGAATAATAAATTATAACAGAGACAGAGACAACTACAAAGACATAATAAACAGCTGTAAGAGCATCCGTTTTAACAATAGTTATGGTCATGTTCCAAGTTAATTATAATAACGTTTTTTGAAAAATTGACAGACTCCATGAAGCCAAATTTAAACTGTAGATAAACTACTGGGCAGAAAGTCTTCTTTTGCACAAGAATAGACAATGTTTCGGGGAAATAAGTTTTGACCATACTTTTTTACCCATAGTTTTGGGCAAGTATTCTCAAAACATATGATTATTTACGCCGTCGCCGGTGTAGTGGGTGGCGCTTCCACTTGGACTCTCGTGTGGGGAGTTTCTTTGTGTGTGTTTTTTTGTTTGTTGTTGTTTTTTTTAAAATCGAGAATCTACGTCCGTCTGTTGGGTCAGTGCATCCCTCTCAGTGGACCAACAATATTTGTCTTGAAATTTTGTCTAGGTGTATTGCGCCATCGAAGCTTTTCCACCCAGTTGTTTTCCATACATTGTTAACAGTAATAACCGAAATGAATCAATGGTAACGATGAAGACGACAACTGTTTGGGAGAACACAACTGAGTAACTGTTGTTTTCAAATCCCTGTAGCTGCGAGCATTTCGCTTTTGGCAGCGCAATGCCTCCCTCAAGTAACCACATGTCCTTGTCATCTGGTCAGCGCCAGAGAAACTGAGTATACATGTCTACACAGACGTGAAGAGGTTCATATGAAATTTAAATTTAAAAATGCAGGAAACAGCATGCATACTGTGAAAGAATATACGAATTTATGTTTCTAGTTGTGTGTGATTGTTGGAAATGTGCCACAATGACGTAATATGTGTCAGCTTTGTGCTTTTAGAGTTATGAAATAATACTATCGTGGTATTATGCAGACTTGTGTGTGTGTGTGTGTGTGTGTGTGTGTGTGTGTGTGTGTGTGTGTGTGTAGTAACTGCCATTATCGTGTGCACGCCCTCTGGTGTGTTTAGCTGTTTGCATATGGTTGCATTTAGCGTTATGTACTGGTTTGTGGTAGAGTCTGCTCTGATGTTTCCCTTTTTTTTTCTTTTCCTTTCCCCTTCCACCCCAAAATATAATATTTTAGCGCTTTTTCTTTCGTGTACAACTCTCTCTCACTCTCTCTCTCTCTCTCTCTCTCTCTCTC